ATGAGTAGCAAGAACTGAAGTGCAATGTCTCATGACAACTAGGGAAGTCTCTAAAAACATAACTTCTTAAGCCAGAATGCTTTATTTTGAATCCTGACATTTCTACCTAATAACTTTGCTGCGTTATACATGTTACTCAAATTCTATATGCTTTTTTAATCATTATAAAATGTAGGAAAATGAAAATGATAGTACCTATGTCATAGGGTGCTAAGAGGATTAAATAAGTTGATACTGGTAAATTACTGAAAACAGCGCTTACAAATAATTGTAATGAGCTGCAAATTTGCTCAGTAATTGTTAGTTATGATTGTGAAAAAAGAGTTAACAACAGCAGTTCAAAGAATGAAATCAAAACTTACATGCCAGACTGCTTTTAGTAAAAAAATAATCTAGAAATAATTTTCAGGGAAATTGCTTATCTTGAAATCATGAAAAATGGGTAGTAATTCCCTATGATGGCAGCTGAGCACACATTTTCACAAATGAAACAACAGTTGCAAATAGATGAGAATTCAGAACATAATGATTAATATAGTAGAGACTCATAACATAATCCATCTAATTCATTAGCTTAGATTAAGTGATAACTTTCTCTCTGCAAAGATGCTTCAACAATTCAAAGAAAAATGGTGTTAACTACTGTTTAGGAGCAGTGTTTTTATCTTCTTACTATTTGTTGAGTTCTTTACTTAGGGAGGGTTAATCTTATGATAGCATGCCATTGTAAAAATTAAGAGAAAGAATAAGAAAGGAAGGAGGAAGGAGGGTGGGAGACCAGGGAAGAGGGAGGGTAGGTTGAGAAGTATCACTATGCTTCTAACTCTGCATATATGAAACACATTAAATTTGTTCACCTTATATAAAGAAAAAAGAGAAAAAGTAATACGGGAGCTGGCATTTGGTTAAGATGCTGTTTGAGACTTAGAGTTTATAATGGAATGCCTAGATTACACTCCCAGATTTGCTTACAATTCCAGCTTCCTGTTCATGTACACCTGGCAGCAAGCAGTTAATCCCTCAAATGATTGACTTCCAGGCACCAGTGTAGGTGATACTGACTGAGTTCCTGACTTCCAGTTTTGGCTTGGCCATGCCTTTCCCTTTGTGAGTATTTGATGAGCATACCAGTAGGTAGGAACTCTGTCTGTCACTGTCTATCTCTCCGACTGTCAAATAGATAAACATAACAAACACGTTTTTAAATATTCAGGCTTTCCATGAACTTCTTGAAGCCTCCATATATAAGCAAAGTATTAAGAATACTTACATAGCATGCAAAATGTTCATGACCAGGCAAATACTATAGTGTACAAACTTATTTTTTGTGTTAAATTATATCATCAAATCAGTGGGGCAGTGTTGTGATGCAGCAGATTAAGACATTATTTGCAACAACAGCATACCAGGTTGGAAGGCTGCTTCAAGCCCAGAAGCTCTGCATCACATCCAACTTCCTTCTAGTGAGCCTGAGAAGGAAGCAAAAGATGGCCCAAGTGCATGGACTCTTCCCATCATGTCAGAGACCAGGATGGGGCTCCTGGCTCCTGACTTTGATCTGGCCCTGGTTATTGAGTGGCCATTGATTAGCGAACCAGTATACTGAAGATTTTTCTTTCTTTGTTGCTCTGCATTTCTCTCCTTTCCCTCTCTGTCACTCTGCCTTTTCAAGTAAATATACACATCTTTTATAAAAAAAAAAAGGGGGGGGGCAGCGCGGTGGCACAGTGGGTTAAAGCCCCAGCCTGCAGCGCCAGCATCCCATATGGGTGCTGGTTCGAGTCCCAGCTGCTCCACTTCCAATCCATCTGTCTGCTTTGGCCTGGGAAAGTAGTAGAAGATGGCCAAAATCCTTGGGCCCCTGCACCCACGTGGGAGACTTGGAAGAAGCTCCTGGCTCATGGCTTCGGATCAGCTCAGCTCTGGCCGTTGTGGTCATTTGGGGAGTGAACCAGCGGATTGGAAGATCTCTCTTTCTCTGGCTCTACCTCTTTCTGTAACTCTGTCTTTCAAGAAAATAAAATAATTCTTTAAATTAAAACAAAATAGTATTTTTCAAATAATTTCTTTGCTACTGGCAATAATTATTGTAAATATGCAATTATTATAATACATAAATAAACTACATGACTTCAAAATAGTTGATATGATGAACAATTTAAATTACTTGTAATTACTTTACCAAGGTGAGACAAATTTAATTCTTAAATTTGATGTGAAAAGATAATAGTAATGTGATATTTGAAAGTTACACATAAATATCTAGAATGAATTTTGGGAAAATGTCTTCAGATATGCTCTTTATTAGAGAAATCCAAGCTGGAAAATTAGATTATGTTGAAGAGTCAGAAGTAAGGTAATATCAAAATTTAATCAACTATACCATTAACAAAGGTAAAGAAATGACCCTATAACCTATGCTTTGATAAATGATTAGGTCATGTAAAACACAATGATAATAATGTCTATTTCAAAATTTTAAATAATTTCTTGATTTGCTGGATATAGTTCATTAAAATTACTATAGCAGGTTTTCTTTTAATTATTACCAAAAAAAAAAACACTATGCATTTTAAAGACACAGAGAGAGAGAGAAAGAGATCTCCCATCTCCTTGTTCACTCTGCCAATCACCTACAACAGCCAGGACTAGGCCAGGGCAAAGCTGGGAACCAGAAAATCAATCTGGATCTCCTACATAGGTGGCAAGAACACAAGTACTTGAACCTGCCTCAGTACCTCCCAGGATGAACATTGGCAGGAACCTTGAATTAGTAGAGGAGCTAGGACTTGAATCCTGGCACTTTGATATGGATGCAGATGTCCCAGGCAGCATCTTCACTGCTGTGCCAAAACCTTGCCCCTTGTGTAGATGATTTAGGGTAAGACAGTTTCACTTGTAACCTGGCTTGGTAAAAATGAAATATCCTTAATGAAAATTGGTGGAAAATTAAACAAGATAGGTAAACTATATATTGTTTATAATTTTAGGAAGCATTAGCCAGAACTTTATAAATATAGAGATTCAATGTTAATAATAAGGATATTGTGTGTTTATTTATATTTTCCTTGTTTGACAAAATAATTTTTATAGTTTAATATGAAAAATGTAACTTTCACAGTTTCGAAAGGATGGAATGAAGTTCAGGGAATGTCTAGGTGAAAATCTAGGTTTTGGGATTATGAGATCTTTTTTTAAGTACTTATCATCTTCCTATAATCTGAAATATTTTTAAAATGTAGTTTATTATCCTCATTGTGTGTAGTCTTCTATGAGGTAGCCTGAATTGCCCAGTTATATCTCTATTTCACCATAGTTTTGTTAGAAGACCTCTATTAAGTCCTGTTATATGATTAATTTTTAGTCTTGGCTTCAACACATCACCTTGGTTCATGAGATAGCTATTCAAAGACATTCCCATATCTTGCAAAATACATTTCAAGGATATGTTCTCAATAAATTCTTAACTAGACTGGCCAGATAGCTGGGTGAAATGCTGCCACCGTGCACGCGTTATGGTATACTTCTCAACTAAACATATAGCTTTCCCATTGTGGAGGATAAAAACATTTTCTTGAATTCCAGTTTAAATATAAAATGCTCCCACTTGGTTAATTAGAAAAACTTCCTGTAAACTCACCCAGAAGTCTTCATTTGAACCAAGCTGATGGCTTCCTCGTCATCTTACTCTCTCTTAGGACCCCAGGCTTTAGTGTATGACCTACATGTTTGTCTCTTTAGAGGCCACTCTCCTCTCTAATTCTCACATTTTCTCAGATCCCTTAGTCCATGCTGAGGTCATTTTCATGTATAAGCTTTCCTGTAATAGGAGCTTAGCAGAACACAAAGGAAAACTGAATTTCTAGGTGTGCAAGTAGATGCTTAAGGAGACAAACCAAAATGACTATAACAGTCAAGTATCCAACAGTTGCTGTAGTATACTACTGTGGAGAGGCCGCCAACTCCCTCATGTTTCATTTTACCCTACAGAATGGCCCCACTGGATTAACTGGTAGATCAACACAAGCAGAAAATTAGGGGATCCCACTGAATAGGGAGCCCAAAGCCAAAATACACTGGAGTTTTATAAACTGGGGGGAGTGGGAGCAGCAGTTAGCAGTGAAAACTACATACTGAGTAAGAGTAGAGAGAAAGTGTCCTCAAGTTTCCCCATCTTTGTTCCCACACATAAGAAAATCTCCATATGGGTTCCTAAGGACAACGTCTGCTTACCGTCCCAATAACAGCACCTCCAAATGACGGCCCCTGAGTGACAAATGTATAAGAGGGTGTGGCCAACCAGGGGACCAGAGTCCTTCAAGGCAACTCCCTTTAGTGACTGCACAGCACTGAATACACACCACTTCTATATCACTGTAATTACCTACTCCTGGTCAAAAAGGAGGAACTGGCCTCCTTACTCTATACCACTTCACACCCCATTTCCAGGTCTTCCCATTGAGCTCTTAGGCTTCATGAGGACAGGCCATCTATTCTTACATTTTCCACTGTACTTCCCCAGTATTTCTTTGTTGACTCTAAGAAGTTCACAGATCTTAATCCATATTATTAAACTGTAGGGCCAGAATAACCCAAAACTTTTTTCTGGAAGCATTATGTACACATGGGATGATAGTGAGCATTATATAACCAAAATTTGTAAATATCTTGAATAGAGTAAGTATCCTATAATTGTTAGTAATTATTATATTCCCCAGTGAATACATAGGTTTTTTTTAAATATTTGAGAATAAAATGATAATAGGAGATAATGGGAAAAGGATAAAAATCTCAGTACTTTGTTAATTATGTAACCAGAGTATCATGTCTACTGAAATTTCCAACCTCAATTTCTTGGGTCCGGAAATTAATAGAAAGTGTTCTCTTTACATTGCATAAATATTAAGATTCTAAGAAGCATCATTAACTCAAATTTTTGGAAAAAGATAATATTTTGAGGCATGTAATGAAGGCAGTGCAAGCAAAAATTATCTTGTTTTGGCAAATTGAAGTATGTTTATTGCTTTTAAGTGAACTGTCATAGATGAAATGTTTGCTCCTAAATAACAGAGTTTAGTGTAATGGAATGTATATACTGGCTTGTAATATCCACATGAGAATCGAGACCTATTCAGGAAAAAAAGAACAATTTAACTGTAATTAGTAAAAATAATGGTGCTTTATCTTATATCAGTTTCTAAATAGTTTTTTTAATTACAAAAAGAATTCATTAACACATACAACTGATGTTTGTTTTTCTTCCATTAGGTTCATTACAAAGGGGACTGAAAAATATATTTTGCTTGCATTTCTGAGATACATTAATCAGATAAAAAAGAAAAAAAGCGTTTATGACTAAGATAATTTTTTGACATGTAGACTACCAGGGAGTGTCCAAGTCACTGCAAATAACTACATTGGTTCCTTAATTCACTAAACTGTAAAATTACTTCATCAAATTGACCACATTGACATATTTTTGGATTAATTACAGAATTACTTTTGTTTATTTAATTCCTTTATGGAATGTTTGTGTTTTTATTAAGTACATGGGCTTTCCATTTAGTAGATTTTTTTTATTCTTTCTTTTATTCATGACACAACAATTTCTGAATTTTTAAAAAAAAGAATTGTTTACTAGAGAGACAATTGTCCACAGTGGCCAAGGTTGGGCCAGAGCCAGGGCCAGAGCCAGATGACAGGAACATATTCCAAGTCTCCTACATAAGCAGCAGAATCCCAATTACCCAAGTCATTACTGTTGCTTCCCAGGGTATGAATTGACTAGAGTCAGGATCTGGACCCAGGAATTAAACACAGGCATTCTAACGTGGGATGTGGGCTTATTAACCTGTAGGCCGGATGCTTGTTGCAGTTTCTGAAATATTCCCATGGAGAATTTTCAGATACTTTTTTGTTCACACTTGTATCCTTAAATATTGTAAGCAACAGTTCAAAATGTCTTAAGAAAAGAGCAATGCTTCTAAGACTTTAATTGGTCTTTGTTTGCTTTTTATTTTCAGTAAATTTTCAGCAAAAGTTCAGGACTCACTTTCATGTCCAAATGAGTTAGATAATCATTTATTACAAAAGAAAAACTTTATTGTCTGTGTCATTGTGAATTTTTCATGGACATCCATTCTTTTGTTATAATTTTCACAGCATAGATCACAGTACCTAGTGTGAGGTAAGTGTTTAGAATATTCTTATTTATTTCATGCAGTTAATAATTTTGGTCTGCCTAAAGTAACCTCTCCTTTTTTTAGAGACTTTTTTTCAATTATGACAAGAACACTTAACATGAGATCTACCCTTTAATACATTTTATTTTATTTTATTTATTTAAGGTTTATTTGTTTTGTTTGAAAGGCAGAGTTACAGAGAGGCAGAGGCAGAGAGAGAGAGAGAGATCTACCATCTGTTGGTTCATTCCCCAAATGGCCGCAATGGCCAGGGCTGGGCCGATCTGAAGCCAGGAGCCAGGAGACAAGGGCTTCTTCCTGATCTGTTACGTGGATGCAGAGCCCAAGAAATTGGGCCATCTCCTACTGCCTTACCAGGCCATAGCAGACAGCTGGATCAGAAGAGGAGCAGCCAGGTCTTGAACTGGCATCATATGGGATGCCAGCACTACACTATTTTTAATATATTTTTAATATACCCCACATCATTGTTAATTCTCAGCACATGTTCTTTTTTAGAATGTTTAATTTATATAAGGGGAACATATTTCATGTATTTCATACATGCTGATTTAAGAGCATAAAGATAATTTTTACCCTATCGCCCCCCTCCATGCTCCCGACTTTACCTTCCTTCCTTTCCTATTTTTTCTTTTAACTTTTATAATGATATGTTTTAGTTTGGTTTATATTCACAAACTTAACCATTCACCAAATAAAGAATTCAACAAATAGTAAGTAGAAAAACCACTGTTCCTCAAGAGTATAGACAAGGATTGTAAGCAATAATCAAATCTCAAATTGTCAATTTCACACATATACATTACATTTTTGGTGTTCAGTATATTAATTACGACAAATCAGAAAAACATATATTATTTGTCTTTTTGGGACTGACTTATTTCACCAACCATAATGGTTTCCAGTTGCATCAATTTTGTTGGAAATGACAGGATTTCATTCTTTTTTATGGCTGAATAATATTTCATAGTGTATGTATACCATATTTTTTTTAACTTTTATTTAATGAATATAAATTTCCAAAGTACAGAATATGGATTACAATGGCTTCCCCCCATAACATCCCTCCCACCCGCAATCCTCACCTTATCCACTCCCTCTCCCCCATTCACATCAAGATTCATTTTCGATTCTCTTTATGTACAGAAGATCAGTTTAGCATACATTAAGTAAAGATTTCAACAGTTTGCTCCCACACAGAAACATAAAGTGAAAAATACTGTTTGAGTACTAGTTAGAGCATTAAATCTCAATGTACAGCCCACTAAGGACAAAGATCCTACATGAGGAGTAAGTGCACAGTGACTCCTGTTGTTGACTTAACAAATTGACACTCTTGTTTATGGCCTCAGTAATCACCCTAGGCTCTTGTCATGAGCTGCCAAGGCTATGGAAGCCCCCTGAGTTCACTGACTCTGATCATATTTAGACAAGGCCATGGTCAAAGTGGAAGTTCTCTCCTCCCTTCAGAGAAAGGTACCTCCTTCTTTGATGACCTGTTCTTTCCACTGGGATCTCACTCGCGGAGATCTTTCATTTAGGTTTTTTTGTGTGTGTGTGTGTTTTTGTTTTTGTTTTCCAGAGTGTCTTGGCTTTCCATGCCTGAAATACTCTCATGGGCATTTCAGCAGGATCCGCGTGCCTTAAGGAAATGCCAGTCTTTAAAAGCAGACTCTGTGTAAAGCTTGAATTTCTGAATGATTCTGTTCATAATATTTTTTTTCCATATGGCTCATCCAGAATAAATAACTTTCCTAGTTTTCATAAAGCTAATTAATTGGTTTGTTTTCCTTCAACAGATCATTCTGCAACTATTGTTACCATAGAGGATGAAGAGGAGAATAAATTTGTGAGCAGACTGATGAGGGAAAATAATAATATTACCATGAGAGTTTGGCTTGGATTATCCCAGAGTTCTGCTGGTAAGTGACACGTTAGTGTGCACAGTTAAAAGAGTTCAGACTTGTCCCAAACACCAAGTCAGTCCTGCTGAAGAATGTCAGGTGGTTGTCTGTTCTTACTGATAACTACACCAACTCTACCAGCTATTCTAGAAGTCTATCAATTTTTTTTTATTTATTTTATTTTTATTTTTTGACAGAGTGGACAGTGAGAGAGAGACAGAGAGAAAGGTCTTCCTTTTCCATTGGTTCACCCTCCAATGGCCACTGCGGCCGGCGTGCTGATCCAAAGCCAGGAGCCAGGTGCTTCTCCTGGTCTCCCATGCAGGTGCAGGGCCCAAGGACTTGGCCATCCTCCACTGCCTTCCCAGGCCACAGCAGAGAGCTGGCCTGGAAGAGGGGCAACCGGGACAGAATCCAGTGCCCCGACTGGGACTAGAACCCGGGGTGCCGGCACCGCAGGCAGAGGATTAGCCTAGTGAGCCTTGGCGCTGGCCTCATTCCACTTCTTTTTTTTTTTTTTAAACTTTTATTTAATGAATATAAATTTCCAAAGTACGGCTTATGGATTACAATGGCTTCCCCCCCATATCGTCTCTTCCACCCGCATCCCTCCCCTTTCCCACTCCCTCTCCCCTTCCATTCACATCAAGACTCATTTTCGATTCTCTTTATATACAGAAGATCAGTTTAGCATAAAAATATGGAACGCTTCACGAATTTGTGTGTCATCCTTGCGCAGGGGCCATGCTAATCTTCTCTGTATCGTTCCAATTTTAGTATATGTGCTGCCGAAGCGAGCACTGTATACCATATTTTCGTTAACCAGTCACCAGCTGATGGACATTTGGATTGACTCCACAACCTAGCTATTGTGAATTGAGCTCTAACAAACATGGGAGTACATATAACTCTTTCATATGCTGATTTCATTTCCTTTGGCTAATCTCTAATGCTGTCATAACGTTCCTAACATAATTTTACATTTATAATTGGTAGCAGCTAAAATTCTAACAGAGGGGCTAGTTTTACCTATTGGGAATTAGAGTATCATTCATTCTCACAACAAATTGAGTGTATAATTACGTATTTTTCTGTTTTCAATTTGTCTGGGTTACTGCAGAGAAAAAAAAAAAAAACTACAAGCCAGTGTATTTCTCACAGAAACAAATCTATAAAAATAGTCTTGTTAATTTCTCAAAATTCTTTTAGAAGACCATTTCTAAGAGCTGAACTATTGCAAGCTAATTTTAAGATGGATGAAATAGTCACATTGAATTTTTCTCTTTGACACAAATTTCTTTTTCATTTTTGCCTAATAAAAATAAGCCACATGAACAAAACACATCCATGACTTCTGTCTTGAAAAATGAAAACTAAGATAGTTATAAAAATCATTTTAAAAACCAATGATATAGGACTGGTGTTTTGACACAGCATGTTAAGCGGCTGCTTGTGAACATCCCATATAGGAATATAGGTCCAAGTCTCTTATAGTTCAAGTCCCAGTTACTCTACTTCCAATCCAACTTCCTGCTAATGCACCTGAGAATGCAGCAGATGGTGACCCAAGTTCTTTCACCACTGCTACCCATATGGGAGACCAGGATGGCGTTAATGGATCCTGGTTTCTGCACAGCCTAGACCTGGTGGTTGTGCCCACCAGGGGATTGAACCAGCATATGGAAGATCTCTCTTTCTTTCTCTCTCTCTCTCTCCTTCTCTCTGTTGCCCTGCCTTGCAAATAAATAATTGTTGAAATAAAAATAACTAGAGATATGTAATACCAGATTTCATGAAAATCTCTATTAGGTTTGCCACTGAAATGCAGTTGAGTTACTGCTAATGCCATTTCTTCCTTTAAAAAAAAAAGATTTATTTATTTACCTGAATATCAAAGAGAGAGAGAGAGAGAGAGAGAGAGAGAGAGAATCTTTTATCTACAACAACAAAGGCTGGGCCAGGCCAAAGCCAGGACCATAAAGAGTCATCTGGGTCTCCCATATGGGTGCAGGAGCCCAAACACTTGTCCATCTCCTACTGCTTTCCTAGGCACAACAGCAGGGAGCTGGATCTGAAATGGAGCATCAGAGATAGAAACTGAAGTCCACATGGGATGCTAGCATGGCAGATGACTACTTTACCCAATACATCACAATTCCGGCTCTGCAATATAATTTGTTTAAATAGTTGGAAGAGATTAGAGTTCTCCACACCCATCTGTGACAAAGGTGAAAGTGAGGCCTAATGAAGACAAGCGTGATGTAATAAAGGTAGTCCAGATAAACAGAGGTGTTTTAGCTTGCCCAGCGTATATGCTGGTGTTAAAAAAATGCTTTAGATATGGCCCTTTCCTAGGGAAAATTTCACATAAAACATATTTACCAGCCTTTTTTACCTTTTAAAAATTCTATTGATATTATATGAGAATGTGTGAGATTTTCTGCCTTTTAAAATTTGGACTTCTTGTTTTGTGATTTGCACATTCTCTTGTTTACTAATCTCTTTAAACAATTTCCAAGAACCACAATTAAATATCAGAAATACATGAACATTCTTTTTTATTAACAATGATACCATGGCAATGACACATAAAGATAAATGCAAGTTATTTAAATTATATGTACAGCTTCTCTATGTTCCCAATATGATGAGATGACCCAACCACTCACAAAACCCTGCATAAAAGTGTTGAGCATGTGTGGACTATTCCATAAATCACAATTTGCTAATTGGCATGGAGCCCTAATGCCATCCTCAGTCCACAACTCAAGGTTTTCCAATAAAAGAATCAGAAAAATCAGCTTGAGCATATCCCGAATTGCACATCTCTCTTCCCTCTCTTATTCGCACTCTTATATTTAACAGTGATCACTTTTCAGTTAAGTTTCAGCACTTAAGAAGAATTTTGTATTGATTACAGTATTCAACCAAAAGTATTAAGTAGAACAAACAAAAAAAAATACTGAGAGGGATAACATATTAAGCTGCTCATCAACAGTCAGGGTGAGGGCTGATCAAGTCACTTACCTCAAACGGTAGAGTTAGAAACATACCAGGGGATTCCAATTCAATCCCTTCAAGGTGGCATGTACCAATGCCATCTCACTAGTCCCAGTGATCAATTTCTGTTCACAGTTCATCATAATGATAGGAATAAGAACCAAAGGGATCACAGAAACAAGAATAGTGTCTGCAAATACTAGCTGATGGAATAAAAAAGGGAGAGAATGATCCAACATGGGAAGTGAGATACACAGCAGACCCATAAAATGGCAGATGTCCTAAACAGCACTCTGGCCTCAGAATCAGCCCTTAAGGCATGTGGATCCGGCTGAAAAGCCCATGAGAGTATTTCAGGCATGGAAAGCCAAGACACTCTGGGAAAAAAAAAAAAAAAAACAAAAAAAAAAAACAAAAACAAAAAAAACAAAAAAAAAAACACCTAAATGAAAGATCTCCGTGAGTGAGATCCCAGTGGAAAGAAGGGTCATCAAAGAAGGAGGTACCTTTCTCTGAAGGGAGGAGAGAACTTCCACTTTGACTATGATCTTGTCTAAATATGATCAGAGTCAGTGAACTCAGGGGGCTTCCATAGCCTTGGCAGCTCATGACAAGAGCCTAGGGTGATTACTGATGCCATAGACAGGAGTGTCAATTGGTAAAGTCAACAACAGGAGTCACTGTGCACTTACTCCTCATGCAGGATCTTTGTCCTTTGTGTGCTGTACATTGAGATTTAATGCTATAACTAGTACTCAAACAGTATTTTTCACTATGTTTCTGTGTGGGAGCAAACTGTTGAAATCTTTACTTAATGTATGCTAAACTGATCTTCTGTATATAAAGAGAATCGAAAATGAATCTTGATGTGAATGGAAGTGGAGAGGGAGTGGATAAGGGGAGGGTTGTGGGTGGGAGGGACGTTATGGGGGGGAAGCCATTATAATCCATAAGCTGTACTTTGGAAATTTATATTCATTAAATAAAAGTTAAAAAAAAAGAATCAGAAAAGTCACCACAATACTGGGGAAGATTTGGGAGATTTATCCTACTCAAGTTTAAGCTTTATTATAAAGTAACAGCAATCTAGGTACTACAGTATTTGTAGAAAATATCATAAACACACAAATGAAAGGAATAGAAGAAAGAACACCAGAAAAGTTCTATATACATACAGCCTCAAAGGCAGTTCAATGGAAAAGATGATCTTTCAACAAACAGTGCTGGAACAATTGGACATCATATGCAAAAACAAAATAAAACTAGACAAATCGCATAAACTGTTCAAAAAATTTCAAAATAGATAATTTACAAAAATAACTTTTAAAAAACTTAATCATACTTTATTTGAAAGGCAGAGAGACAAAGATAAACAGATAAACAATGGGAGATCTTTCATCCGTTGGTTCACTCCCCAAATGCCTGCAACAGTCAGGGCTAGGCCAGGCTAAGGCCAGTCCAAAGCCAGGAACCTAAACTTCATCCAGGCCTCCCACATGGTTGACAGAGAATCAAGTACTTGAGTCATTAGCTACTACCTCTCAGGAGTCATAATAATATTAACCCAGATTGGAAGTGGAGTAGCCAGGATTTAATCCAAGCTGTCCAATAAAGGATGTAGATATCTCAGGTAGCAACTCATGCTGCTATGCCAAATGCCAAATTCATAGAATGTCTAGAAGGAAATATATAGGAAATCTAGTATTCTTAAGCTTAACAGTATTTTTAAATATAAATAAACACAAACCATAGAAAACATATTGAATATTTTTCAAATTTAAAACTTCTACTATGAAAAATAAACAATTAAATGAAATAATAACCTAAACTCTGGAAAAAGGTATTTTCAAACAAAATTCATGACTAAGAAGTTGCACCCATAATACACAAAAAATCCTAAACAAGAAGAAAAATCTTAACAGAAGAAAATCAGTAATTCAGTTTTAAAATGGACAAATATCTGAATAGATACTTTTCAAAAAGATGTATAAATGTCAAATAGACATAGGAAAACATATTTAACTCTCTTATGTCACTAGGGAATTGCAAGTAAAACAAGATACAAAATATTCATTTTTAGAAAGGTCAGAAGGGACTGGGAGTCAAAGGGAGCACATAGACAAGTCTAGTACCTGCTAATGCTAACTGATGGAGTAAATAAAGGGGAGAGTGATCCAACATGGGAAGTGAGATACTCAGCAGACTCATAGAATGGCAGATGTCCTAAATAGCACTCTGGCCTCAGAATCAGCCCTAAAGGCATTCGGAGCTGGCTGAAAAGCTCATGAGAGTATTTCAGGCATGGAAAGCCAAGACACTCTGGCAAAAGATCTCTGCGAGTGAGATCCCAGTGGAAAGAACAGGTCATCAAAGAAGGAGGTACCTTTCTCTGAAGGGAGGAGAGAACCTCCACTTTGACTATGACCTTGTCTAAACAAGATAAGAGTCGGAGAACTCAGAGGGCTTCCATAGCCTTGGAAACTCATGACTGGAGCATAGGGAGATTACTGATGCCATAGACAGGAGTGTCAATTGGTAAAGTCAACAACAGGAGTCACTGTGCACTTACTCCTCATGTAGGATCTCTATCCTTAATGTGCTGTACATTGAGATTTAATGCTATAACGAGTACTCAAACAATATATTTCACTTTGTGTTTCTATGGGGGTGCAAACTGTTGAAATCCTTACTTAATGCATACTAAACTAATCCTCTGTAAAAAAAAAAAAAAAAAAAAGAAATTATCAATTCCCAACTTGACTCTCACTGGGATTAAACATGGCAATAGGTCTGATCTGATTTCATCATCATTTAAAAAAATCATCTATTATTTTTCACTTTATGTTTCTGTGTGGGAGCAAACTGTTGAAATCCTTACTTAATGTATACTAAGCTGATCTTCTGTATATTAAGATAATCGAAAATGAATCTTTATGTGATTGGAAGGGGAGAGGGAGTGGGAAAGGGGAGGGTTGTGGGTGGGAGGGACGGTATGGGGGGGAAGCCATTGTAATCCATAAGTCGTACTTTGGAAAATTATATGCATTAAATAAAAGTTAAAAAAAAAAAGGTCAGAATATAAAAAAAAGGAAGAGGAACAACATAATGATAACAAAAGTTCTGAGGATATGGTGTATGAAGAAATTTCTGTCACAGTTAGTAGAAATGCAAAATGTTGCAGAATTTTTGAAGACAGTTTGACAATTCAGTGGAATTCAAACCATAGAGACTTGCATTGTGATATAGCAAGTTAAGCTGCTGTTGCAACGCCAGTGTCCCTTATTGGAGCATCAGTTTGAGTTTCAGCTGCTCCGCTTGCAATCCAGTTTCCTGCTAATGTTTCTGGGAAGGCAATGGAAGAAAGCCCAAGTGCTTAAGCTCCTGCCATCCGTGTGGGAGTCAGGAAAGCTAAAAGAAACTACATATCCGTAATATTACTGACTTTATAATTTCCCTTGTGAATACAGATTAACAATTGTGATACTATTCTACATGCATGATAGAATTAAATTAAAAAATGATGGGAGCCACATTCTCACTGTGGATTCAGGAATCTAGAGATAAACAAGGTAAGGAGGGTGAAATGAGCCATGTAGTGATAGACTAAGGGTGGTGATAAAATCATGAACTGATGGTTAGCTAAATATAAACACAGAACATTATACAGAGAGGTATTTATAGTAAGAGTATATGAAATTTGATATTTGCACAATTTTACATTTCTCAATCGTAGGTGATTAATTTCTCAGATATCATAAAGAAGGAAAATTTTAAAAAGTATTTATAGCAGAGTAACCTTATTAATCCTAGTTCAACAAGGTAATCAGTGTAATGTCATTTTGAAAATATGTACCATTGATGTGATGTGACCAAAAGAAACTTTAACTCTATGATCATGTTTTCAATAACTAATAACCCCCACCTGTTCATGACAAACACTGCACAAAATTTCACACTGCTTCTGTTCAAAACCATGAAAGTCATCAAAGAATTCTTGAGAACATGGTACAATAAAACTAAATCTAATGAGAAATGATGATTAAATATGATGTTTTCTTGGGGGATTTCCTGAAAAATGAAAAGAGTATTCAATAAAAACTATAAGGAAATGTGAATAAAGTATACAATGAAGCTAATAATGAGTTCATTGTTCAATGCATGTATTATACTAGTATCAGATAATAACAAAAGGGGAAACTTTGGATTTCATGGAAATTTCTGTATTAACTTGACAAGATTTTTGTCAATCTATAACTGTTCAAAAATAAGTTTATTTTAAAAACTTGGAAAATAGATTGAAAATGTTGAATACACTTCTTTTCCTCTTTGATCTGTATTTTAGATTTTCAATTTTAGAAGTTGCTATAGAGAATTATTCTAGGTTCTCAAATAAATAGGAAATAATGATAGAATATTACCACTTTGTAACACCTAATTAATTAGTGGGCTCAATGATAATCCCATGCAAAAATGTTTTTAAACTGGTATACTTAGGACATTTATTTTTTCTTACTGTTTCCATGGAAATTTGAAGGAAATATGATGAAAAGAAAGGCAATAAAGTGTAAGAACAGAGAGAATACACTTATAGCACATGGCATATGCTTTAGGTAGATGTGGTGGCAGCATGTAAATATGCTATGATGACACCATTTTTAGTGATACCTAAGACTGAAGAAAATCCAAGCAACCAGGTGGATGTTACTGAACAAGTCACACCTTATGCATTTTTAGTAAAAATAATTTAAAAAACTGTAAAACAAGACAGGTGGCTAGAGACAGAGTAATAGAATTATGTTTTCTGTCACCAAGCAGGATATATTTTTCAGAGTAACAATATTTTATTCAGAAAATGTTTGTGGCATACTAACCATATGCCAGACACTCTGCTATGTACTGAAAACAGTGTTCTAAGAAATGAGCAAGAGACTCCCACCTGGCACAAAGAGTTTATGCTGAAGAGAGGGACATGAGTATTGAATAAAAATAATTATACAATATTAATGTTTATTACATATGAATAAACACTTCAAATTATGACAAAAATCTTTTTCATAGCAATGTAACTTGGATAACTTGCTTGAAGAAGTCATATTTGAGCATCCTCCTGATGAATGAAAGAGAGCTACTTAGTGGAAGAGGTGGAGGGAATTTTTCTTACCTGCTTACTTTGCTTCTGTTAATGGAGATTAACACTTGCTCCCAGTTGAAGATAAGATATGTTCTTCAAGTATTCTGGAGAATATAATAAAAGTGACTTTAAATGCAACTGAAAAACTTGTAAATGATTGACATTTGGTATTTTAGGGAGAGAAGAAATGGATTTTGATGGCAGCATTTGGAATTAAAAAAATCTTAAGCTATGACACTATTCTTGTTTATGTGATCCCTTTGGTTCTTAGTCCTATCATTATGATCAATTGTGAACAGAAATTGATCATTGGGACTAGTGAGATGGCATTGGTACATGCCACCTTGATGGGATTGAACTGGAATCCCCTGGTATGTTTGTAACTCCACCGTTTGAGGCAAGTCAGCTTGAGCATGTCCTGAACTGCACATCTCTTCCCTCTCTTATTTCCACTCTTATATTTAACAGCAAACACTTTTCAGTTAAGTTTCAGCACTCAAGAAGAATTGTGTATTGATTACAGTATTCAACCAAAGTATTAAGTAGAACAAACAAAAACAATACTAAGAGGGATAACATATTAAGCTACTCATCAACAGTCAGGGTGAGGGCTGATCAAGTCACCGTTTCTCATAGTGTTCATTTCACTTTAACAGGTTTCCTTTTTGGTGCTCAGTTAGCTGTCACCAATCAAGGGGAACAAGTGGTATTTGTCCCTTTGGGATTGGCTTATTTCACTCAACATAATGTTTTCCAAATTCCTAACAGGGATCACTTTTCAGTTAAAATTTAAACACCTAAGAACAATTGTGTGTTAATTACAGAGTTCAACCAATGGTACTAGAACAAAAACAAAATACTAAAATGGATAAAGTATTACATTGTACATCAACCATCAGGACAAGAGCTGATCAAGTCACTGTTTTTCACAAATACTGCAAATACTAGCTGATAGAATCAAAAAGGGAGAGAATGATCCAACATGGGAAGTGAGATACACAGCTGACCCATAGAGTGGCAAATGTCCTAACAGCACTCTGGCCTCAGAATCAGCCCTTAAGGCATGCGGATCCGGCTGAAATGCCCATGAGAGTATTTCAGGCATGGAAAGCCAAGACACTCTAGGGGAAAAAAAACCTAAATGAAAGATCTCCACGAGTGAGATCCCAGTGGAAAGAATGGGTCATCAAAGAAGGAGGTACCTTTCTCTGAAGGGAGGAGAGAACTTCCACTTTGACCATGGCCTTGTCTAAATATGATCAGAGTCAGTGAACTCAGGGGGCTTCCATAGCCTTGGCAGCTCATGACAAGAGCCTAGGGTGATTACTGATGCCATAAACAAGGGTGTCAATTTGTTAAGTCAACAACAGGAGTCACTGTGCACTTACTCCTCATGTAGGATCTTTGTCCTTAGTGTGCTGTACATTGAGATTTAATGCTATAACTAGTACTCAAACAGTATTTTTCACTTTATGTTTCTGTGTGGGAGCAAACTGTTGAAATCTTTACTTAATGTATGCTAAACTGATCTTCTGTATATAAAGAGAATCGAAAATGAATCTTGATGTGAATGGAAGGGGAGAGGGAGTTTGAAATGGGAGGGTTGTGGGTGGGAGGGACGTTATGGGGGGGAAGCCATTGTAATCTTTATATTCATTAAATAAAAGTTAAAAAAATCTTAAGCTATGAAATGAAAAAAAAACTAAATAGTGTGTAATGACAAAGGTAATTCATTTCAGTAAACACTAAGCTAGGTGTTGTGTTGGGGAATATTAACACAACCTATAGCATACTAGCCCTTCTGTGTCTTAGAATCTATTGGGAAGTTCATCAATGAACTCAACAATATCATGTAAAACAGTAAAATCAAAAGAAAAAAGGATTGAGCAGAAGAGAACCAAACAAGAAGCAAGCAGAGTTCTGCCCAGGGGTTGAGAGTGGGTTCCTAGAATCAGAGGCTCTCACACAGGACATAACATGGGTTGCTGGAGATTGTTTTATGATGAAATTTGCATACTTCAGATTTTCTTAGTGTTGGTCAAATGTAGTCTCTGTATTTCATCATACTGAATTTTAGTTTTACTTGTTCTTCTAAAAGTCTCTGTAACACATGACTCCTTGGGATACTCTACATTCACTCCTGGCATGTGGCCTTGGAGCTAGTAGCATTAAAAACAAGGAATGACTGGTTTTGATAAACATTCCCATACTTGGAAATATTAAGATTTTGGAGATTACTTTAAACTTGAGGTTTTCACAAACTATTGTAACAGGACAAGTAAATGAAATTGTAATCTGTAATCCTAGGAGAGACATATGTGACCCTTTAACAACATAGTCCTCAAAAACCTCAGCTATAGCCTCCTTCCCTCTCCACTTGACCTGTATTGCATTCTATATATTTAGTTAAATATGTTTTCATTTATTTGTGGATGAGGGAAAATCTTTCTCCCAAAATTCACAGCTTAGCCTACAACGTAATATTTTGTGAACTTCAAACATTTCTTTCTTTGTGAGCTTATGACCATATCTTATGGCATTTCAGAGGGTCTAGATTAGGCAACAATTCCAGCAATAATAATTTGCTTATACTTGTGCTGGCATTTGAAGTGTTTATTTATTTATTTAGGTTTTGGATTACCATGTAGTACTTGTTAATGCAGTACAGTGCAATATTTTTTTTTGTTTGTTTTTGACAGGCAGAGTGGATAGTGAGAGAGACAGAGAGAAAGGTCTTCCTTTTCCATTGGTTCATTCCCCAATGGCCGCTGCAGCCAGCGTGCAGCGGCCATTGCACTGCGCTGATCGGAAGCCAGAAGCCAGGTGCTTCTCCTGGTCTCCCATGCGGGTGCAGGGCCCAAGCACTTGGGCCATACTCCACTGTCCTCCCAGGCCACAGAAGATAGCTGGACTGGAAGAGGAGCAACCGGCACAGAATCCGGTGCCCCAACCGTAACTAGAATCTGGTGTGCTGGCGCCACAGGTGGACAATTAACCTATTGAGCCACGGCGTTGGCCAGTACAGTGTAATATTTTAACATATCTACAAAGTGTAAACCATTGAAGTCATACAACTAGCTCTTCACTTCATGCTGACTTTCTGTTGGAGCCTACAAACGCCTCTCTTTCTGTTCTTTATATCAGTTATATTACAGAATCGTGAACTTTAGTCGCCTAATCCACATGTATTTATTTAACCAATATTGACTGGATAATTACTACACATCTACAACTATTTAGTGTGGTGAAGAAAGAGTAAAGCACAATAAATTGATTTTTCTTGGGATTGGTGAGCAACTACTTTTCCAGGAAAAGCAGTGAACAAATATTTGGAAATAAGATATTTATGATAATGGGAGTACAGTGTTATTGTATCACTTAGAAAAGCATAGAGGATAAGGGATGAATTTATAAGTGAAACGATGGCTACACTGGAATTTGAAGCAAAATAAAAAGCTATGAGTTAGATAGGCACTCATTACTGCAGGATGCATGAGAAAACATACTCTAAGAAAGTAGCATGTACCAAGGCCATCAGTGAGAGTACAGATGTTATATTGACAACAACCAGCCTGATAAAAAATGGAGGTATAGAATTTAAGAGGTGAATATGAATGGAAGGTGGGAAAAGTGTTAAATAGAATAAAGTACTTCAAAGCCTCGAAAGCCACATTAATAGATTGGAGTCCATACTTCAGTAATGTGAAATCATTCAGGGAATGAAAGCTATGGAATGGTATAATCATATTTAAATTTCAAAACCTTAGCTCAGATTGCAGTATGGAGAATTGTTTTGTGGGAAGAACAATTTTGTCAGGAGTCCAAATGATATTTGCCGATGGCCTAAACCATGGGAGAGCTGTAGCAATGGAGAGAAAACAATTGATCTTTGCTCCTCATATGCTGCAGGTTTATTCAGCCTTGCATGAATTTGCATATTTGAGCAGAATACTTACTACATTTCAGAAATAGCAAGCATTCTTTATAACCTTTCAACAGCAAATTGTTTCAGAATTTTTCTCATATGCAAATCGGGATACTACCAACTGTAATAATCCAAATAGTACATATTTTGCTATTAAGACATACTAGAGGAGCTCATATGTACCTTAAATGGTTTCTCCAAGAATACGAGGATGCTGACATACTGAGATTAAGGACAAGTTCCTTTCTGGAAAAGCAAGAAAAATTAGCAAAAATAATATTTCAGCATTGCATATGCAAGGGCACTATAGAGATTATGCAGGAAATTACAGGAATACAGATTAGAAAAATAAATTGAGATCAGTTTGTAGATAATTCTGATATCATAAAATTTTGACCCAATTTTTGGACAATTCATAACGAGTGGACTTTTTGTAGAAGAGTGCATAGTGTGCTTAATGTAGAAGAAAACACTTTTTAGTTTTATTTAATGGAAGACAATTTCAGAATATTTTATGTATCAGAAGTAAAACTGTTCCATTTGAAAATGTCCTATGTTGTCTCAGTCTGAGAATTGCCAAAAATAAGGAGAAATACAATTCATGGGTGGTAAAGTCAATATGTATAAAAAGTTTTAAAGTCATCAATGCTTCTGTTAATGTGAACACAGGGAAGGCAGTGATCAGGAAAATCTCATTTTGCACTGAGATTTTTCTGGAATTTAGGGCAACTGTCCTAGCTAATGATAGAGAGCAGCTTAAATAAATGGTGTCCAAGTTTTGGAAGAGGGTACATTGTTCAAACATTATGATTTTACAGTGGTTTGTGTAACACATTGGGAAACGGAAATTTTACTCACTTTACTTTGTCATTCCATGAGAAACAAAAGGAGGGCAACTAAACTTTAACACTGTTCTTTACAAGGAATTTGCTATGGATCTGTGTCAAAGACTAAGTGCCCCAGATGGAAAAATACTTAAATAAAACGTTTTCTGAGAACTATCAATTTTATGCAGCATATGAAGTACCAAATAATTTGCACTAGGTTAAACCAAGTTGTAGCCAAGCATGAAAATGGGACTTAACTTCAAATAACTCCGTCACTAACTTATTTCCAATGAAAAGAAAGGAAACAGCACAAGTTACTTATTAGAACAAGGTCTGGGCATTGAGTATAACTTG